TTCCTGGCTGTGAGACCTTGGACAAGTCACACAACCTCTCTGAGCCTATGCTTCCTGAAGCAGACCCGCTCCCATGCTGCAGAAACGCCTCCCTGCAGGATGCGTCCTGGAGAAACCAGTGTACCTCATCAGCGAGGCCACCCCACCCTCTGCAAAGACACCACCCCAGGCTGCCTTCCTTCCAGTTCAGGAGCAGCTGGGCTTGGCCTGCACAGGCCCTGGGGGTGAGGCACACTCCTGCAGAGCCTTCAGGAACCCGGGGCCAGAGGAGTGGGCTCGAGGCCAGAAAGCTGGCCTGGCCTCTGGGGTCAGCTGAGCCTCGCCCGTCCTGCCTGCTCTGGCAGACCCATGGGAAAGCCTGCCTGCCTCTGCCCTGAGTGAGACCGAACGCCGGTTCTACGGCTGGCAGGGGTGGGGCCTTGGAGCCCTTCTCACCCAGGAGGCAGTGGAGGCTCAGCCAGGTAAGGGGTGACACTCAGGATCCCACAGCTGGAGCCCAGAGTCGTGAACAGACCCCCTACTGGGGACGGCCCCTCATGTGACTCTTACCCAGCCTCCTGGGTACTCAGACAACCAAGTTTTCTTCTCACGCTGCAGACAGAAAACAGGACTGGAGCCCGGGGGGGTCCCTGCCAGTCTCCTAGACCCTTGGCCCCAAGTCCTGGGCCCTGTAGGCCACATACGAGTGGCCCGGCCCAGCCCCCATGCTCAGGACACCCCCGGCCCCTCGCTGTGCTCTGCCAAACCTGGCTGCTCCTCGGGGTCTCTGGTGATGCAGCGTCGCGGTCCCAGTGCCACGCTCCCAGAGGAGGTAACCATTCACAGCAACTTCAGAAGCCACCCAGATGCTCTCTCCACCACCTGAGCCACACCACCCCTCCACCACCCCCCACAGGCATCCCCCAGGGTACCTCTGCTTCCCACACCCACCTCCCGGCGCCCTGCCAGCCTTCCTGCTTGCCCGCCAGCTCCAAGTCTTCCTCCAATCACCCTCCCCAGAGGCTCCCACAGTCTGGAGCCCATGGTGTCATCCTCACACCTGCCCTTCTCTCCTTCCCCAGTATGCGGGGCACAACTGCCCCCCCATCCCCCATCAGCCCCCTCCTCCCTCCTCCCTCCTCCAACTAAACCCAAGGGACCACTTGCTCACCAGTCTTCTCCCTTTAAATACGTGATTGCAGATGGCAGGGGGCACTGGGCACTGCCACACCACCCCCTTGACACCTTCCCGATGCCCACTAGCACCTTTGTGCCCCTCCCCTAGCCTCCTCCAGCCGGAAGCAGGAATGTGGCAGCAGGGAGGCCTGCCCCAGGCGCCAGCACTGGGCTTGAACTCTCCTCTCCCTCCCACATCAGCCTCCAATCCCTTACATGCTTCCGTGTCAGTTCACCTCCCCAGCCAGCCCCCCCAGGGGCTCTGTGTCTCTGGCTTTCCACGTCTGGAACAAGGTCTGGCGTATCACTGCGGCTCAGTTAATATTTGTGGGATAAAGCTGGAAATGCTTTTCCTTTTTCTTTCGTTTGATCTCATTTGTCTTGATTGTTCACTGTAATTGGGAAGATGGTGATTTGGTACCTATAAGTGCAGGGCTGCTGTCTTTCATTTATTCATTCATTCATTCATTCATTCATTCATTTTGAGATGGAGTCTCGCCGTGTCAACCCAGGCTGGAGTGCAGAGACAGGAACTCCACTCACTGCAACCTCCGCCTCCCGGCATTCTCCTGCCTCAACCTCCCAAATAGGTGGGATTATAGGTGTCAGCCACCATGCCTGGCTAATTTTTGTATTTTTTAGTAGAGATGAGGTTTCACCATCTTGGCCAGGCTGATCTTGAACTCCTGACATAGCGATCCACCCACCTTGGCCTCCAAAGTGCTGGGATTACAGGCGTGAGCCACCATGCCCGGCCCAGGGCCACTGTGGTAAATGACACATTGAGTGTCTTCAATGTCTTAAGAGACACTATCTGAAGTGACAGTTCTAAGTTTCTGTGGACTGGCTGATGGATTTCTCAGCACCGGGAAACCGTGATCTTAACACCATGCAAGTGGTTCGTTTCTGGCACGTAGCAGGATTCTTTTCCTCTTTGCAAACGCGAGATAGCAGCAGGCAGCTGAGGGCCTCTTCCTGGCAGACTTGCTGGCTGTGCTGTGTGGGGGTGGAGGGGGGATTTCCTGAGTCCCTCCTCCAGATCACCCCAGCAACTCCAAAATCCAGTGCATACCACACGGACTGGGTGATTGCTGTGAAATGCGTGAGGGGCAGCGGTTTACACGTTTCAGTGACCGGACGTCTCCACTGTCCTTTTCTCTTTTGATAATCACAGTGATTCTAATATAGCACTTGAGGTTTTTGTCTGTTTGTTTTTTGAGACAGGGTCTTGCTCTGTCACCCAGGTTTGGAGTGCAGAGGTGCGATCACAGCTCACTGCAGCCTCCACCCCCCAGGCTCAAGTGACACTCCTACCTCAGCCTCCTCAGTAGCTGGGACTACAGGCACACGCCTGCACACCCAGCTAATTTCCGTAATTTTTGTAGAGATGGGGTCTCACCATGTTGCCCAGGCTGATCTGAAACTCCTGAGATCAAGTGATCTTCCCGCCTCGGGCTCCCAAAGTGTTGGGATTACAGGTATAAGACCCCACGCCCATCCAAATTGACCATTTTAACCATTTTATTTTATTTATTTATTTTTGAGATGGAGTCTCACTCTTGTTGCCCAGGCTGGAGTGCAGTGGCGCGATCTCGGCCCACTGCAACCTCTGCCTCCCGGGTACGAGCGATTCCCCTGCCTCAGCCTCCTGAGTAGCTGGGATTACAGGCATGCACCACCACACCTGGCTAGTTTTGTATTTTTAGTAGAGACAGGGTTTCTCCATGTTGGTCAGGATGGTCTTGAACTCCTGATCTCAGGCGATCCACCCGTCTCGGCCTTCCACAGTGCTGGGATTACAGGCGTGAGCCACTGCGCCTGGCACTGTTTTATTTATTTTATTTTTATTTATTTATTTATCTTTTGAGTCGGAGTCTCGCTTTGTCATCCAGGCTGGAGTGCAGTGGGGCAATCTCAGTTCACTGCAACCTCCGCCTCCCGGGTTCAGGCAGTTCTCCTGCCTCGGCCTTCTGAGTAGCTGGGCTTACAGGTGCGCACCACCACATCTGGTTAATTTTTGTATTTTTAGTAGAGACAAGGTTTTGCCATGTTGACCAGGCTGGTCTTGAACTCTTGACCTCAGGTGATCCACCTGCCTCCGCCTCCCGAAGTGCAGAAATTACAGGCGTACACCACCGCACCCAGCCCATTTTAGCCATTTTAAAGTGTACCATTCAGTACCGTTCACAACCTCGTGCAACCAGCCCCGCCATCCAGCTCCGGAACATTTTCATCACCACAACAGGAAACCCCATACTCATGACGCAGCCTCTCCTCCTCTCTCCCCCAGCCCCTGGCGACCACAAATCCACGCTCTGTCTTTGTGGACTTGCTAATCGGGACATTTCATACAGGTGGAATCATGCACCATCTGGTCTTTGGTGTCTGGCTTCCTTCACGGAGCCAGTGTGTCTGAGGCTTGTCCAGCTGTGGCGTGTGTCAGAACTTGACGGCCTTTGAAGGCTGAAGGCTATTCCGTCGCTCGGACGTGCCACATTCTGTGTATCTGTTTGTCCGAAATGGCCACCTGGCTTGTGGCCACGCCGCAGTGATTCTGAATAATGCTGCTATGAATGTGGGCGACCGTTGTCTGAGTCCCTGTTTTCCATTTTCCTGGGTGTCTGCCCAAGAGTGGGTGGCTGGGGCAGATGTTAATGGGTAGAGGATGTCGCAGAACTGCAGAAACTGCTCCCACACAGCTGCACTGAAGCCACACTTTTCAGCCGGCAGCAGATGGGGATTCAGGGTAGAGCCTGGCCTCCTAGCCACTGGCCTTCTCCAGTCTCCTTCCAGTTCCTCCTCTCAGCCCAGCCCAGGCGAGGCAAGGGGAGCAGCCTTGGCTGGAAAGCCCCACGCTCCCTGGAAAGGCCCCTCAGGGGAGGGGACGCCTGAGCCAGCTCTGAGGGATGAGGGGTTTCTCACAGCCTGCTGAGAGTAGGGGGAACAGACCCTTCGAGGCAGAGGCTAGAAGGCAGGTGCCTGCTTGGCAGGGAGCTCCACAGAGCTTTTGGTGACCAAGGTTACACGTCGTAACACGTGCGGCCAGCGCCGCTGGCACCATCCACAGCCAGCGCTGACTGTGTGCACACCTTCCTCCCTGCAGCTCCAGGGTGTGGGTTCTAGGGGGACCCATTACACAGATAAGCAGACTGAGGTGCCAGGGCCTAACTCACTCACACGGCATCCCAGAAGGGCCGGCATCCACGCCCTGACCACCAAGCTGCGTGGCTCTCCACGGTGTCCCCAGCAAGAGGCTGGGCGCAGAGAGGCACGATCACTTTCTCACACACACACCAGAGGCTTCTGGGAGACAAAGGAGTTGCCCCCGGGCCTGGGCTTTGCTCGGTGCCTTTGCTCACTGTCTGCACCCCAACTTCCTGGGCTATGACGTCCGGGGGTAAACCCTTCACCTCCTACTCAGATGGCAGCTGTGACCATTCCTGAAGTAACAAACAAATATGAGCACTGAAGGAAATCTGCCGAAGCTCAAACATCCAAAGGCAGTGGGGGGTCCTACTCCAGAACGTGATGAACTTGATCTGCAGCAGAGGATGCCTTTGTAGGAGTCTAGAGCAGAGCGTTCTGGCCCCAGCCCTGCCACTGGGCGCTGAGTCTCCTGCGTGTCCCTGGCAGGGTCGCTGTCCTCTGAGCTCAGTTCTTTCACAGCAGAGAGGGTGCCAGGAACGGCCAAGAGGCCGGGCACTGAGGGCCACCACCCCGTCCTCAGTGCGATCCTGCCCCTTGATTGCTTGGTGGCAGCAAACTGCCCAGTGACGTGCCTTGCTGCGTTGCCTTGCTGCATTGCTAACTGGCCTTTTTTTTTTTTTTTTTACTTTTTTTTGAAGAGACACTTGTCGCCTGAGGAGTTCCAGGAGGTGTTCGGTATGAGCTTGGAGGAGTTTGACCGCCTGGCCCTCTGGAAGAGGAATGACCTGAAGAAGAAAGCCCTGTTGTTCTGACGGCTGCCAGCCTGCCCACTGGTGTGCGCCGGGAGCCGAGGCGAGGGGTCCCTGGCGAGAACCATGCACGCCCCTCACACACACCTTGCTCTGGCTTCTCTGTGTCAATGGGATGGCAGGAGGGGGTCCCCCAGCAGGTGCAGCCTCTGCGCCTGCCGGCAACACTCCTGCCCGTAGTTTAGGGCTGAGACAGCTAGCTTCACACCACCCTTCCCCGCTGTGGCTTGGTGTCAGGGAGAGGCTGCACACTGGCTGTGTGGGGCATCAGACGGAGTGCACAGGTGGCTGCAGCCCAGCCTACCTTCCCAGCGTCCTCAAGGTGCCCTGGCCCCGGTGCTAGGCACGTGGGGGACAGAGGTGCCCGGAACGTGAGCTGTGAGGCTTATCGAAGATGGGCGCTGACACCATTGTTCCAGGATGGGCACACAGCCCCTTTGGAGCCTGGGCAGCCTCGCCTCACAGGCAGACCCGCAGACAAGGCAGGGAGTGTCTGGGGCAGTGCCAAGAGTAGGGTGCGTGATTTTTGCAGGCGTCTGTGATGGGTCTCTCTAGGAACAAACGTCAGCTGACAGGCACCCTCTGGCAGTGCCCCTCCATGCGCTGTGTCCTCTTCCAGATCATCTCCTAGATGCCTACACAATATCTTTAAAGTTACACAGAAGTTTTTATTTTATTAAAAAGTATAGCCTACTTAAACACGAGATGACATATATAGAGTTGAATTTCACGGCCCCTCTGCAGGGGAGTGGCCCTCCAGCCTTATTCTCCACCGCTCCGCTCTGTGTGGCTTCGGTCGGTTCTCGGTGTGGTCCTCATACATAGAGCTCCCTGTCTGGTTTCTCCTCTTTTCTTTTTCACGTCACACAGGTAACCTTAAAGACAGACCCCTCTGAATCACGCTTTGTAAATACATGTCAAGTGTAGCCATCACTGTTTTCCTTGCTGTTATTTTTACAAGTCTTGGAGAGAAAACATCTTCCTCTGGTGGCCAAAGCCCTGGAATAAAAGGTTTCCATGTCCCGCACCTAATGCCCGACGTAGATCTCGTCGTGCCGTCCTGTGATGGCAGTGTCTCAGCACACCCACCTGAAAAGGAAACCCCACACGCCCCGGGAGCAACGAGCTCCTGTGTGTCCCTGAAACTGACAACCACACGCTGTTGGGGAGCAAAGGATGGAGAGACGCCTCTCATCCCCGACGCCAGCAGGGCATCCCCGAGCAGGAGGCTGGCCAGGCTCCCCACGCAAAGGCGTTGGTGTCTGCCATGAGGCGTGTGTTGAGGTGCAGTGCCGCCGTCACAGGATGCCGATAGGCGCGCTGAGAGGTGGCTGGAACACCGGAGCCTGTTTCCCCGTCCTCGGTGGGTGTTGCCTCTTGTGTGTGTCCCCATGTTCCTGCCTGTGAGTCGGCCTTACTCTGCTTCCTCAGCGCCCACGACCTGCCAAGTCCCATTTCCCACTCGGCTTCTCGCCCGCCCGGCTCGGCCAGGGAGGGGGAGTTTTTAGCACCTAATCCGCTTCCTGCCGCTGAGCAATCTGAGCCTGAGCAACTGGAAACCCCCATTTCTCAGTAGTGCAATGTCATGTCTGATCCCAGGAAGCCTGGAAAATAAAAGACGATGCATTATCACTTGTGGAAGTACAAGAGCGCTTGTTATGAACGTGTATGATTTTAAAGGCAAGGCCCCTCCTGCAAGGGGCAGGAGCCTTGGGGAGGGCACCTGTTCCCGGTATGGCGCTGGATGTGTGCACGGGGCAGGCAAGGCCTTGGGGAGGGGGGCAGGCAAGGCCTTGGGGAGGGGCCCCGTAGGACATTCCCCAGAGGCAGCTTGCGCAGACGCATTCCTGGGCCCTCGCCAGGGCCAGGCACTCTGCTGACGCCAGTGAGGACTGAAACCTGATAGGCACCTACCCCAGAAGTTGGGGAGACAAGGGCAGCCAGGCTGATCGCTGCTCTGTGGAGCTGGCCCCAGGGAGGTCCCAAATACACCCCGGGTCAGGGGAGGCTTTCTAGACAAGATGCTGCCACGCCAAGTCTTGGCAAATGGGAGGTAAGGGAATAAATACCTCCCAATAAGGGAAGGGCATTCCGGCCGTCTGGAACAGCCACCACGGAGGTGCTGAGGCTGGAAACAGCCTCACAGGTTCCGGAAAATTCAGTGACTGGTGATGGCTGAACACAGGGCCAAGGAAAAGACTGGAAGGAAAAAGAATGCAGGCCAGGCTCCCACACGGGATTAAACAATGCCCTGCTGGGATTAAATGTCTCATAATCTCTAATCCTATTCCAATGACATTCATGATTCTTTTGAACTTTGGGTCTTCCCCCCAGAAGCCTGTCCATTCACACAACCTGCCACCACTGTCTACCCAGTTACACAGTCAGAAATCAGCATTTTCTTCGGTTTCTTTCCCCAGCCCCCGAGGACAACCGCCCGAAAGCCCTGGTAAGTGCTACCTCCCAAGCATCGGCCTATGGCTCTCCACCTGCACAGACACTGCTGTGGAATTATCCAGTGGACATGCTGAGAACAGGAGGTGGCACTGTGACCCATGACCCTGGACACAGGTATAAGCCTGGTCTGGCCCTGGCAGCCGGGACATGCGGGCACCCTGGCCACACTCAGGCCCCTCCCTGCCTGCAGCACGGCCTTCCTCGGCAGGCCGGTCCCACACTTGCCCCTGGGCAAATCATGTCCACCCAGATCCAGAGTGATGCTTTGAAAGCACCAATCGGATCACACCAAGCTCCCCATGGCCTTCATCCATGGCCTCAAGAGTCAGGCCTTATGTGACTCCCCACTTGCCATTCCCGTCCCCCACCACCTGGCCCCCGTGTTTGTCCCCATGGTCACACCCACAAACTGTGGCTCTCCCTGAGTTCTTCCGAGAGCAAGCCTTCCGGCTTTCACCCAGATCTCCCTCCTGGGGTAGCTCTGCTGCTTGTCAACACAGGGCCCCTCCCTTCCTTCTCAGTTCAACTCCGAAGCTCCCCGCTCAGACAGGGCCCTCTGCTGACCTTCCAAATCGCCACCCATCACGGCGCTCCTCATGGTTCCTCCTCAGGCGCTCTGTGTGTCAGCAGTTTCTTCTTTTTTATTTTATTTATTTATTTATTTATTTATTTGAGACGGAATCTCGCTCTGTCACCCAGGCTGAAGTGCAATGGCATGATCTCGGCTCACTGCAACCTCCACCTCCCAGGTTCAAGCGATTCTCCTGCCTCAGCCTCCCAAGTAGCTGGGATTACAGGTGTGCACCACCACACCCGGCTGATTTTTAGTAGAGATGGGGTTTCACCATGTTGGTGCCAGGCTGGCCTTGAACTGAGCTCAGGTGATCCTCCCACCTTGACCTCCCAAAGTGCTTGGATTATATCACCTCCCACTGCGCCCGGCCCACAGATTCTTTCTTGCTTTGTTGACTGTTTCCCTCTATCAAGCCCTAAGCCTGAGAGGGCTGACGGCTTTGTAACTGCACTCCGAGAACTGGGAATGTCTTTGGAGTATTTTGTAACACGGCCAGAGCTCATCTGGTTTCTGTGCTTTCCCCAGACAGTCTCGTGGCGTACATGCTTCTAGAACAGCACTGTCCCATCGCACTGCCTGCAGTGACAAAGACACTCTGTATCCAACCTGTCCTACACGGCAGCCACCAGCACTTGAAATGCGGCCGGTGCGAGTGGACCTGAGTTTCAGTGTAACTCATGTAGAGTGAAAGAGCCACATGTGGCCACTGGCTTTGTATTAGACAGCGCAGTGCCCTAGGATGAGAAACTGCTGCTGCCCTGAGCTGAGACATGCGTGTCCACAGGCCCTGGGAGCTGTCACTCTTGTCCAGCATGAGTGTTCATTGGAGCCTGTCTATAGGATCAATTTAGAATCCACTTGCTGAGCATGCACCTGTGCCTGGCACTGCCCCGGGTGCAGGGGTATGGTTGGCACAGTTCTTGCCCTCCAGACTCATGACGTCTGCCATCTGAACCTCAGAGCCCCAGGTTCTAAGCCAGTTTGGCTCAGTCTTCCATGCCAGCCGTCATGTCTGCCAGTGGCACCAACCTTCCCAAATCAGTACACAACCTGGGCCTGTGTCAGGACCCCCCAGGAGAGATGGGCGGGGAGACATCAGTGCCTGCGGGGGCTCCTTCCTCAGCTCTTCTCCCCAGGGCAGGTGTGCATTCCAGGCTACTTAAATGTAAACAAAAAGCTTCAGAATTCACTGCAGTCAGGCAAGAGAACGTGACAAATCTCACACAGGTCTCAGTGTTTGGTTGTAAAGAAACATATGTCGCCTGTAGCGGCTGGAACTAGTCACATGACCCTAGTCACTGCCCACCAGCAAAAGGGTCTAGGAAGCACAGGCATTCCTCTGTCTGAGAAGAGGGAGGGTCAGAACCGGGAGCAAGCCTTACTAACTATAGCTGAGGCTACACGGATGTCTTCTCTTCCCCAAGTCCAACCCCAAGCCCAACCTCTGCACACTAGTGCCAGCTTGACCCCCGGCCCTCCGAGTCTCTGCCATGTGCGGTGCCCCCTCCTGGAGGGCTTTCCCCACAGAGCACCGTGTTCTGTGTGACCTGCTGTCCGCAGCACAGGTGATCAGACCACGGATGGCCCCTGAGCTGTCCACAGAGTGGATCCCTAGTGGCCCGGTGCGACGGCTATGCCTCCTGGAGAGAGTTGGCTGTACGTGGGCATCAGTCTACCCAATCCGAAGCTCTCCCAGGGAGGCCATGTGACACTAAGGCAGATGACTGACGGGGGTAGGGGAAGCAGAGAACAACCAGCCAGAAGCCTGAGCCAGCAAAGGCCATGGATAAAGAGAAGGGGAGTGCAGGGGCACTGGCCAGGAGAGGAGGAAGAAGGGGAGCCCAGAGGGAGTCGGAGCTGGCGGAGTCTGGTGGACTTTGCTGACCACTTCGGCTGCACTTAAGCCCATGCTGCCCCCCGTCCCCCAGGTTCTTTTTTTTTTTTTTTTGAGACTGAGTTTCAGTCTTGTCACCCAGGCTGGAGTGCAGTGGTGAGATCTCGGCTCACTGCAACCTCCACCTTCTGGGTTCAAGCAATTCTCCTACCTCAGCCTCCCGAGTAGCTGGGACTACAGGCGCGTACCACCATGCCCAGGTAATTTTTGTATTTTTAGTAGAGACGGGGTTTCACCATGTTGGCCAGGCTGGTCTCAAATTCCTGACCTCAGGTGATCTGCCCAACTCAGCCTCCAAAGTGCTGGAATTACAAGTGTGAGCCACTGCGCCCTGCCCCATCTGAGTTCTGAGCTAGCTGAGAACCAGCATGAGGAGGCCAGCATGAGGAAAGTGTGAGTTTCCCTAATACACCAGCCCCCAAATCCTGAAATGCAGAGCTTCCAGAGGGACTAAGTTGGAAGATACTGCTCAGTGTATTTTATTTTATTTTTCATTTATTTATTTTGAGACAGAGTCTCTATCTGCTGCCCGGGCTGGAGTACAATGGCATGATCTCAGCTCACTGCAACCTCCTCCCAGGTTCAAGCGACTCTCGTGCCTTAGCTTTTTGAGTAGCTGGGATTACAGGCGTGCACCACTACACTCAGCTATTTTTTTCCTCTATTTTTAGAAAAGATGGGGTTTCACTGTGTTGGCCAAGCTGGTTTCGAACTCTTTGCCTCAAGTGATCCTCCTGCCTTGGCCTCCCAAAGTGCTGGGATTACAGGCATGAGCCGCCTTGCCCAGGCCCTGCTCAGTGTATTTTAGATCAGAAAAGTCTTCCACTGTGGCCCACCCCATCCTCACCCAAACCTGTACCTAGGTCCCTCCAGGGTGGTAGCCAGCCATGCAGGGTGAAGAGGAGGCAGCTGCATGGGACAGTCTGCTTGTGAGCCCAGGGCGATGGGTTTCCACGCCCACCTCCAGCCCAGGCCTGGGCCTGCCCAGGGATCCACCATGGGAGGTGAAGGAGGGAATCATCACAGCTTGTGTTTCTTCCTCTCTGACCACATGGGGTCTGTTTCCTGAGAAGGCCGTATCTGCAAAGTGGCCCCCAAATGCAGAGGGAGCCAAGAAGCCAAAGAAAGAGGCAGACACACCCAGTTTGTCAGTGGAAGGTGATTTATTAGGGGGAATTTGACAAACAGAAATGTGGTCTCCGGAAGCCACAGACAGTCCATCTCTGCACCACAACTGCCCAGACCCGTACATCGGGGAGAAAGTGTACGTGCCCTGGAAGGAATGCCTAGGTGTCTGCGGGCGTCACAGCCTATCATGCATGCAATACCAAGGGCAGTTCTGGAGGAAAGCCTGGTGAATAGGCCGTTCTGCATAAAGAGTAAAACATCAACCCGACATCTTGGAGGCATTCCCGGACAGGGCTAGTCAGGAGTCACATGCTGGATTAGCATTTAAAATGAAGTCGCTTCGATCCCCACAGAGTCCTCCGAGAATCCTAGAGGCCACACTTTATGAATGAGGAAACTGAGGCACAGAGAGACACAATGTCGCTTGCTCAGGATGACCCAGCTGTCAATGACTGGGCGAGAGGTCCAGTCACTCACGCCACTCTGCCCCCCCACACTCTGGCTTGTGATAAGATGCATCATCTTGCCTGGGTGTGTCCTTGAAGCAAGCCTGCCCAGGGGCCAGGAGCGGAGCATGGCAGGCAGGTCACCCTT